ACCCACCACCAACAAGATGTGTATCTTGCCCTTTCTGTAATCATTTCAAGGCAATGTGCATGGTATCCTGCGCATTATCTTCATGGGGCTGAGATATACTATATATAGTGGCTAGTCAAAGTCACTGAGATACACCGGGGATGTGAAGACATATGTGAAGATATAAAAAAGATAATTATGAGAGTTGGAATCCCACATCAAGCTAAGGAGGTTTGCTCAGATCAGTGAAGGGCAAAAGTGAAATTAAATGCAACAAGAGCCATGTTCTAGAGCAGCTGTCAGCAACCTGATGCCTGCCAGATGTGTCTGGCTGCAATTCCTATTATCCCCCAGCCAGCATAGCCAAGCTGGTTGTGGTTGATGGGAGATATAGTCTAACACATCTGAACAACACCAGATTTGGAATGGCTGGTCTGGGCACACTCTTGGATGTTTATTGTGCTGATTTCTTGGCCCTGTCAAGCCTAGATGGCCGATCGCTTACACATTCAAGGTCTTGCGTTGGCTCTGTAAGGCATGCAGAAATTGGCAGGCAGAGCTGCCCATACCACAGCCAGTCACCTTTCATGAAGAAGCAGCTCCTGCCAAGCTTTACACAAAAGTCATCAACAGGCTTTTGATAGAAACTATCAAAAGTACAAAAGTACAAAATCTCTTAAGGGTTCAGACTAGCTTATTGTTGATCTATTTGACTCATGAATTCACTCAGTAACTTATTCAAACAGACACACAATATCGGGTGTGTCTGAATTTGTTCTGGTCTTAGTGTTTTAGAGTTCATTCAGCTTCATATTTGTCCTTAAGGAGAGGAGAGTGAAGTTCACAGTAGAGATAGATGAGGAATCCAATAGGGTGACAAAAATCCAATGGATTTGCTTAATTCAGCTTCCAGATTCCAGTTTGTTTGCTCTCTGCTGGTGCACACTTGCTGTGATGCAAGTCGGCCAGCTCACTGACTTCCTTTTCTAAGAGAAACTGTGATCTTAAAACTGATAATGACATTTCCATGAATTAGCACCAGAAAACAGTATGCATCTGCTTCAATTTGTGCAAAATCAACCAATTTGCTCAAATAACAATTTGTGCAAATTATTCAAATTGGCCACTTCTGCACATCTTATTCCAGGGCCAAGAGGTTTTCACATGCTTATTTCTGCAGATTTCATTAGTGCAGGTTTTTTAAATCTGTGAATTACACTTTGCCTTAGAAACAAAAGTCTGCAGACCCTCTCCCCAAATTTGGCTTTCCTTCTTATCATCACATTGGAAAAGAGTAGGAAATCCATCATGCTAAAAAAAGCTAGATTTCCTTGTTTTGAGACCCTAACCCTAACATGAAGGTCCGTGACTACTCTATAATCCCTCCGCATTCCAAAAGCGTGCACAAAGGTAGCACGGAAGTGGTGCTCCTTGATTGCTTACTTGGAACAATCTTAGAGACAGAAGTCTGTGGAAAATACTTGAATTGGCCTGCTTCCAGTCATCAGGTGAAAGGCAGGCAAGAAATCTGTCAAGCTCAAATGAGCCAGATTTCTCTGTTTCAATACGTTGCTAGTTCAGATGATCTGCCCCACTTGGAACTATAGCCAGTTATGATGCTTTTATTGCTATCTGGATTGTGGAGGCCTTTGTGGATTCTTTGACTAGTGTCACTGCTTTGTGTGATGTTCTTCAGTCAAGGTCACACTGATGTCAAGCAACATGGAATCTTGCCAAGGTGCTGAAAGGGTGGCAGTTTTGTTAAGCCAAGTAGTTCTGTGTTGAATCATCATTGTGCCGGGAACTCACCCAGCCACAAATTGCATCCATATATCTTGCCTTTTAGATATGGGTGTGGTGTGGAATTAAACTGAGATGCAACATACATTTCAAAAGTATTTATTGTCAAAATCAAGGGGAAAGAGGACATTTCACCATGACCATAATCTTTTGAATATTTTCTTTGTGGAGTTTGCACCTGTGTTCATATAGTGCCAAATTTCAACAAATTCAGAACTTGCACAGTAAGTTTACTGTGAAATTTGTTGAAATTTGGTGCTATTTTTGTTGTGTCTGTAAAGCTGATTTACTAGTCCTCACTGGGGGAAGTGTCCTGACTATATTTCCTGTTCCATGCCTTTTCTTCCTGCCTTTTTTCCTTGTTGCTGCTTTCCTGGCCAAAATAGTTCTAAATTATAGCCAGTGAGGGATGACACGTATATTATGGAAATTAAACCAGTGTATTTAATTTGAATGTTTTACAGTATTTGAAATTTTAAACAATTCTGCTTATGGCCAAATTATTCTCAATTTGTTGCCCTTTAAAACAACCAGAGGCTAAGATTGTCTGTGTACTTGTCTGAGATTGTCTGAGAATAAGCCCCCATTGGACTCAATATGACTTATTTCTGAGGAAATACTTAACTATGAATATAGCCAGTTCTCCCCATGTTGTGTTCCTTTAGACTTATTCATTGTAATCCTCCATGTGGATAACAACGTTATTGTTAACAAGGTTAGAAACATTGTTATTCTATGGAAAGAAGCAAGACTGGGCCATCTTTGTGCTGTTCATTTGATTATATTTGGCCTTCCTCAAAAGGAGCCATGTAAAACAGTGCAAAGTATAAATGCTGTTAGTGTCTTAACTCTAAAATTACAAACTTCATAAAATACAAGAAAGCTATCACTGCCAGACACTGGAAAGGGTGAGCTTAGGTGCTTGTAGCTGTATAGCACACATTAGCTGACCCTTTCAGACATGCATGAGAAATGTGTGGGTGTCGGCAATGTGATGCTGCTTGCCTCGTTTGTACAGGACATCGATGGAGGACTGTGAATGGAAAGGACTCTGGCTGACTAGAGTTGCCACAAAGGAGGTGGAAATCGAGTGGGACACACTGCTTTTGAATGATTCTTACATTTCAGGAAACAGCAAACTCCATACAAGCCTCTTTGGGGTGGAGATTCTATTGCAGTCTTTTATTCTGCATTGTCTGTATAAGCCAGACTGTGTAATCACTAAGTTTAGGCATGCAGAGCAGATGACAAGTGTAGCTGAACGGTTCCTGTTTTGTTTCCCAGAGTAGATTATAGACATTTTGGGCCAATTTCAGCTTGAAAATATTGTGCAGCATTAATAGCACCAAACCAAATAGTCTCAGCATAACTCTTATTTATCACATTTAAATGCTGAAAAGCAGGATGGTATGACACCCTGCCCTGATTTGATTAATGTTTCATTTGGCAGAATTACCAAAATCCCAGTTTGGGTGTATAGATAGGATTATATGTCATGTTACATGTTCCCAAATCAAGGAGAAGCCCTCCTAAAGCTTAATAAACCCCTGAAGATGTAAAGAATTGATTCCAGGGATGTGTAAGTTAAAATACAGTTTATGCTCAAATATTTATAATGGTATGAATTGAGGGCACACTCTAATCAAGATGCCCACAAGCCTCCAAATTCGAATTTTGAGCAGCCTGTTCAGAAGCAGCGATGATCTCTGACTCCCAGCTCCTCCTGCTCTGCATTTTTGCTGGATAGCCTTTTTCAACTGTGTAGCTAGTGCAGTTTGAAGTGGAAGGAAGCACTGAAACAGCTCGTATCTTTTGGGGAAGATTTGAGGGAGGGGGAGGGAGAAACCTCTTTAATATTTACCAAGGCATGTGTGCTTCTTGATTATATACCAACTTCTTGGCCAATATAAATTAATTTTCTGCATGGTTTTGACAGCTAAACAACTAAAATTACAGCACTGTAAGAACAAACAGCCACCGGCAATAACACAACGGGCTGAGGACTTGGCAAAACTTTGTTTTTCACTGGGAGGTCTTTAGGTGTGATCTACAAATGGATGTATAAATGGATATTTGGACTGCTTTTACTGATGCCTGTATATAATTAAGACAGTAGTATATCTTGCTGCAAGAGGGTGCTGGAAAGTTCTTGGCCAGACAAAGAAAGAAAGAAAACAAACAAAGCAAAACCAAGATGCATAAAATGAAACAAAAAATAAAAACGTAACAAAAGCAGAAAAAATGAACAACACAAGAATAAATAAAACTGAAACAAAAAAGAGATAACAATAACAGTGGGTTAGGCTGTGATTTTTTCAGCCCCCCTCATTTATATAAAATATATAGGGGCATACACTGCATATGTATCTGCTGTTACTGATTTACTCAAATTTCACTGAGAAAACTAATATATCATTTCATTTTATGGTTTTTGTTTCTTTTGATTTATGGAAGCCCACAGCAAAAAATATGAAAAAGCAAAAGAATGACTCATATTCTGGCTACGCCAGTCTCCCCTCTGCCGCTTTCCCTTTAGCCCTTGTCCAAGGTTGTTTTCCAACTTCAGAGAGCTGCCATTGCGGTTCTTTCTGCCTTACTACAGGGAGGTGGGGGCAGGCGATCAGAGCCCCAGTCTCCCATCTACAGGTCTGGATTACTGTCTCCAGCCCTGGAGCTGGAAATATGAATGAACCTTACCCCAGCGGACACTGTCTACAGGCCAAAGGATTGCTCCTTTAGGAGGTAATCTTAATTTACCCACATACAGTATAGGCAACCCATGGACTAGTGCATGGGACGCAATGGTTGTGCACAGCAGGATGGTGAGTTAGCTGATGAGTGATTGACTTCTTGTTACACAGCCCTTAAATGTGATTATTTAGGTGTCTGTCTTGAACATCTGCACACACACAAACATACACTCAGACACACTCTACTACCTGCCTATCTAGTTTTCCTGAATGAAGAGGTCTTGTCATACTTTAAAACAGGTCTTGGTCTGTTTAGGACCTCCAGAGGTCTCACAGTTTTGGGGAGTAGTGGGCACTGAGAATGCCTCTGTTTGCACCCTCAGTGTATGAACTTGGTACATGGAGTGAACCACCAAGGGGTCACTCTTGGCTCACAACTGAGATTACAAAGAAAGGAAGACCATACTGAGTTAAAACTGTGTGTGGGTGGAATACTTCAAATGTTTTCAGCTTTTTTTATTTCCTTTTTAGCACAGTGCTGTTGTGCAGTCTTCCTGATCTTCCTTTTTGGAGATTTCTGGTTTATCTCAGCATTTTATGCACTTTGGCTGTACCTTGACTGGGAAACACCCCAAAATGGAGGGAGAAGATCTAAATGGGTACGAAATTGGACTGTATGGAGATACTTTAAAGAATACTTTCCAATACATGTGAGTAAATCAATTATTGGTGCTTACAACTTGGAATAAATTCAGTCCTGACTGGTATGTTCCCAGGCACAGTGGGAAAAGCTGGCTTGGTCTACAACTCGTCCTGGTTAGTGTTCCTAGTCAGAGGTTCACCTCTGGTTTCAGGAAAGTCAACACATTAGGAGAAAGCTGGGGTATCTGGACAAAGGTAGTTAGGAACTTTTTCCCCTGCTAACCTGTTGCTAATAGAGAGGCACCTACCTGTCAGTAGATCTATGCAGAAGTGGATCCATAGCCTGCAATTTGAATTAATCATAAATTTATGTGCAGATAAAGCCTGATATTTGTCCCTCCTCTATTTTCCTGTCCCGTTGAGATCCTGTGCTTGCATTTTGCACATGTGGACTGCAAATATGGAAAGGCCCCTCAATGTGAAACAATTGATACAGATGGAGAGACAAATGGGGGCAATGAGAAGCAAATGGAGAGCTGGGGCAGGGGGACTAGAACGAGAAGCAGTGATGTAGAAAGGTATTTTCTGTGCTAAGTGGATTTTTTCCAGGAAAGAAATATCTCTTGTTGAACAAATTGAGATCAAAGTTATGGGGAGAATGAAGAAGAAAAATAAACCAGTCCTCCTTCTAGTAATGGCTGGTTCTAGGCAAGAGCAGGTGCGATCTTGGGATTTGTTATCTTAAAACAACATAGGCTGGCATCCCATGCCTGCTAACTTGGAAGTACAGTAATTGACACTGAAAGTAAGAACTGTGCTGAATCGGACCCAAGGCCTCTGCTCCTGCTTTTTCCCATCGAGTGGGAAGGCATCACTTAGGATACAATTATAATACCACCATGTTCCCTAGCAGCTGGTATGCAGACACATCCTGCTCCAATACAGCCCTCAGGCCTAGCAGGCTCATCCTTGAAAAGCTTGCTCATGTTGAAATCAGGGTTTGTCAGGAAATATGCACAAGATTGGGCTTTGGGATTCTTACATAGAGTAAAGAATGGTATAATAAATACTTTTTTACCTACCTTGATCTCTCAGTGACTCAGAACTTAATTGGATGCTATTGTGTGTGTTGTTGTAATAGGTTCTTTTATTATGTTTTGTGTTTATCATTGTTTTATTGTTGTTTGTGTTCTCAACATTTGTACGTTGGCTTGGGAGGGGTTTTCATAAAACACAGCTGCTACCTGATTTAACTAAATAAATAAAGCCTGTGCACAATTACATGGGAGTAAATTGCCTTGAACACTGTGGCATTTATTTCTGAGTAAACCTGCATAGGATTCTACTATAAGAATATAGAGTTAAAATATCTTCATATACTCAACAAAAGCCACATTTTCCCTTTTATTAACCCACCAAATGAACATTTGAACGGCATTTGTTTTAGCTCATAAAAACCTCAGATTTGGATCCAAGCCACAACTACCTCTTTGGATTTCACCCACATGGTGTCCTTGTTGCCGGAGCCTTTGGAAACTTTTGCACAGAATACACAGGTTTTCAGAAATTATTCCCTGGTCTGACTCCATATCTGCACATATTGCCTTTCTGGTTCAGATGCCCTTTCTTCAGAGAGTATATTATGTGTGCTGGTAAGTAAACCTGGATGAGCTTATTGCTTAACCTAAGGTGTGATATAGGGATGTGCAATGAATCTGTTTGCGGGTAGGAATCAGATTCTCTGGGCTCACCCCGCATACTCTGGTCAGTGGCCCTGAGTCCAAGGTCCTGGTGAGCATGCACAATGTTTGTAGGGTGCGCACCAGGAAGTCCCATGTGCCACACAAGCAGCAGCCCTCTTCTATGCTTGGTGCTGCCACCACTGGCTGTGCTGGGTGGGGAGGAAGGTAGGTCACTGGGAATGGCACCTGCTCTTCCTTTGTGTCCTTCAGCTGCTCTTTGGGTGTCTGCACCTGACAGGGAAGGTTGCTGGTTGCACAGTGAGGGATCTGTGAATGTTTGTGGACTTCCTCTTGGCTTGACTAACTGTAAAACTTGGCCAAGCAGAAGGGCAACTCTGCAGGTGCGAGAGGGATGAATCCCCAAAGGATTTGTCCCAGCCCTGGTGTGGTATTTGGTTAACCAACCTTTCCTAACCAGGGGCCATTCAGAAGGGTTGAGCTATGATTTCCATCACCCCAGTGTAAGAGGGGCAAGACTGTGTGTGATGGCGGGGATGCTAGCAGGCAGTTTCTCTTACGTGAGAGGGACTGCCCTGGCAGGGCTCTTTCTCATGTTGTATTTGTTGCGTAGAAACAAATGTGTGCCAATCCTCTCTATCGTTGTGGAGAGCTCCATTGTTGGTGCCTTCAGTGAATCCAAAGCCCTGCTGGTGTGAGTCCAGAAGGACAGAACACAGGGAGCAGGATTATATCTCCTTTTTTGCCCTCCTTATGGGACAATTTAAAAAAATCTTTAAATTCTACTTTTAAAAAGATATTTTACAAAACTAGCTGTATTTATGTGTCACAGGGGGAAAACGTCTGCCAGCTCAAGAGCTTGGTTAGATCAGGAGGCAGTTTGGGTGTATGTTTGAAGGCCTGTGGGGCCTGTGGAGCTCTCCCAGAATATCCCCAATCTCCCTAGTATATCCTGGAACAGGAGTCAGCATTGATTGATGGTTTAAGGGATAAAGCCACATAACGCCTTTTGTTCACCAGAGGGGCAGCCTGATAAGGGAGCCACCAGAACAGGAAGGGACTGGGCCATGGCAAAGCAGCCATCTCACTCTGCAATACTACCACCTGCATTGCAGGGCTTGAATTATACACTGCTCATATCAGCATTCATGGCAGCCCAGATCAGAATGCAAAGTTTGGCCTCAGCATACTGCCCAGGTCCAAGGCGTGGGCAGCATGAAACAAGGCAGATACACCAGGAGCCAAGGCTGGACAGAGGCCAGACACGGTCCTGAGTGCAATTGCAAAGAGAGAGTCACAGGCCAAGGAACAAGACGGAAGGAGGGGAAGGGAGGGAGTGAAACAGCCATGGAGATCCCCATCATCTGTGAGGCTTATTACAAGTACTTTGGGCAAATTGCCACAATGGGTTCTCATGATGAGCAAGCCCAGCTATCTTTCTGCCTTGCTGCAAAGAAACACCAGGTCATGCAAGCTGAGAAATACTGAGCATTCGGTGAGAGTTTAGATAATATAATTTCAAAATATACTGATGTGCAATCCAGTGGGACAGTTTGAAGGTCTACAGCAATATTTGTCTTCACATTTTTAGACATGAGATGTGCAACATTCTTCACTTTTATTAGGTTTTGTGCAAAATGTAGCAATAGGAAAGATGGTTTATGATAGAAAAGAATATCTGAAGAAGGTTAGATAAGAACCTTCTAACGAAAATGAAAAATAAATAACTTCAAAGAGATTGTAATTCGCACATAATGTGAAAATGCTTGGAAATTGATTTATAGGTTCTATAACCTTGATATTTGAATTCTTCAAGAAACGGTCATCAGGAGAAGCACTTGTTTTAGAATGCTGCCATCATTGCTATGCTAGGAATCTGGGTTTTCTCAGGTGCATTCATATGCTGATAAGATTAGCTGAATGTCACATTTGTGCATGTTTTAGTGCCAAACCAGGAAGGATGTAAAATATATTGTTGGCATCTATATATGAGTCTCTCATGAGCTTGCTTGCTTGCCTGTCTGAAGCAACAATAGGTATGGTTGAGCACTGATCTGGATCAGGTCTATATTTTGGTGTTCATTCCACCCTTTGTTCTGTTCCTGTTTACCAATGAAAGCAGCCTCCTCTCCACAGAACTCTATTTGTGGCATGAATTTGATTTCAGTATGAATGGATACATCATGGCCACGAACAGTTTAAATGTCACATAGCACAGCTCAAACTGACTGGGCTTTCTCTTTTCTTCATGTTGTTTTACACAATCAGGGCTGGTTTCAGCTACCAAGCGGAGTGTGTCTCATGTGCTGAGCAATGAAAAAGGTGGCAACATTTCAGTGATAGTCATTGGAGGGGCAGAAGAGTCTTTGGATGCCCGCCCAGGAAGCTTAACTCTGAATATCCTCAAAAGGAAAGGTTTCATTAAGGTTGCTTTGAAACACGGGTAAGTGCCACCCAGTGCCAAGGCTGCTCTTTAAGAACGAATTGGTAACACTGGACATTAACGGAGGATCTGAGATTGTGTTTGGAAAGAGAGGCCAGGCTTGGGCCCAGTCTAGCTATGAAGCCCACCTCAGACAAGGGAGCAAGAGTAACAGTGCCACGCTGTGCTTTTCTCCTGCCCTCCCCAGAGGGTCCTCCACCACATACCCCAGGAGGAGCTTTGGAGAACTTCCCCCAGCTGCTCACCCACATTTGCCACTGTGAGAGAGTGGCCAGCTGGGCTCTCTAGAGCAGCCTTCTGCCCTTTCCCTTGTTCTGCATGGCTGGAAGAAAAGTCATGCGTGCTCCTGTGAGAGAGCGGTGAGGACTTGCAAGAGCCCCACAGCCACTTCTGGCTGCTTAGCTCTCCACAGAGCTGATGTGGAGGCAGCAGCAAAGGTAAAGGTGAGGGTGCTGTGGGGAGGGTGCCATGGGGAGCAGAAAGTAGTTGCGGGGAGACAGCAGAAGTGCCTCAGGAAGCGGCACACCTTGTGTCTAGCTTGGATTTGTGTTTTAAACATAAGAAATACATTGCTCACCTGTATCCTAAGAGTGAATGCCACAGAATGTGTGTGATATTAAAGCAGTTTAGGCCATCTGTCCTTATTTTCTAATTAGCAACTGGGTCACTTTTCTTACTGGGAGTTCCCTTCCCAAACAGAAAATATTCATTTTTTTAAAGAACTTAACTCGTAAATGATCTGAAATTAAATGTAAGCTGATAAGTGGTCAAGTTTGTGGCTGTCATCAAATTATCAAGCATTTGGTTAAAACAAAATTGGAACTGAGAAGAGCTCCAAACAGAACTTTCCAAACTGCGCAAATGGGCATCAAAATGGTTAATGTAATTCAGTGCAAAGTAAAAAGTAAAAATGATGAAAGTTGGAGCAAACAATCCCAACTTCAGCCATAAGCTGACAGAATCTGAGCTAGCAGTGACTCACCAAGTTGTGGTGGACAGCTCAGTGAAAAATAACCCAGTGTGCAGAAGCTGTGAAAATGCATATTCCAAGTTAAACATAATGAGGTGGTAACTGAAAATAAAGCTGCCAATATCATACTCCTTTTGTATAAATCTGTAGTGCAACTGGACTTACTATGTACAGATCTGTTCACCTCACCTAAAAAAAGGATATTGTAGAGTTGGAAGAAGCACAGGAAAGGGTAACTCAAGAGATCAAGGGCTGCAGCAACTCCCCTATGAGGAAAGCTGACAACATCTGGGATTATTTAGCTTCCAGAAAAGGCGAGGAAGGACAGTGCATAATAGAGCTGTATGGAATTGTGCATGAGGTGGAGAAAGTGGGTAGGGGGACCTTTTTCTCCCTTTCTCATAATAAGAGGACCCGGCATCATCCCATGAAGACAAATGCTGGAAAATTCAGGACAGATAAAAGGAAGTATTTCATCAGGCAGCACTTGCCAAACCAAGGGAAATCACCTCCACAGGATGTAGTGAAGGCCACCGATTTGGATGGCATTGAAAGGGAGTTGGACAAATTTGTGGAGGAGAAAGCTCTCAATGGCTACTAATTCTGACAGCTGTATGCCTCCACCAGTATCAGAGGCAGTATGCCAGTATGCCTGTATACACCAGTTGCTGGGACACATGGATGAGGGGTGCTGCTGCCCTCATGTCCTGCCTGTGGCCTTCCCATGGGTAGCTGTTTGGCCAATGTGTCAACAGAATGTGGGACTAAATGAACCCTTGGTCTGATCACTCTTCTTATGTCCTTGGCGGGGGAGGGGGCGGGGTGTGTGGCTCTGCACATATGCTGGCGTAAAGTGGTGGGCCCAGACCTCTTGGAGAGATGGCCACTTGGGGATCTCTGCAGGGTTGGATTTGGCTCCTAGGCCTGCAATTCTGCACCCTGTTCTCTGAAGTACAGCTCATATGATGACCTCCAATTTTAGTCCTTCAGGTTAGGAATTCAAAAGAAATGGCCTAATTACCATCTCCTTTAAAGAGCCTGGTACCATTCCCTCTCTCAAGGAGGTGTTTATGACCTCCTGGACTCAGCCCGATATCCCCTCCTTCTTGGAAGTAGTAAGTCATGAAGAGGCAAACAGGTGTTTGATTGGACTTGGCCAAACAGACTGTCCACATCCTCAGGCCACAACTGAAATTCATCCAATAAAACTGGAGCAGAAATCCACATTCCCCTATAAGTTAAAGCATGAAAATGCAGATGGGGTGGATTTGCACATGTGTGTATTTCTGGAAGTTTGTGCTTTTGAACACAAATTTGACTAATTGCAAACATTTCCTGAGAACAGCATTTCTGCTTCTATTTGGGTTGTGAATGGGACACGTTTGCATGATTTGCAAACAGGAATGAAAACAGGACATCCATAAATCTGCTGTTTGATGTCTCTATATTAACATGTTCACTTATACTTTTAGCCTTTTTGGAGTGCTTTGCATACACTGTCATCATAGGTAACCATCTTATGCCATGAGACTTCAGGCCATTCTGGGTGACTTCAGGCCATTCACTCAGTCTCAGCCTAATCTGCTATGTGGATAAAACGGAGCTATGTAAGCTGTCTTGGGTTGCTTACATGAGGAAAAAAGGAAGATGTAATGTAATGCAGTTTGATGATGATGATGATGATGATGATGCATGGACATGGTAGAGTGAGATACTGTTGTTTGCTCAGGAAATTGCAGCTGCTTGCCTCTTTTGCCCAGATATATTTGAAGTAACAAAAGACGCAGTACATTTTGAAATCAGAAACCACAGCCACAAGAAGGGAAAGGTCCATAGGACTGCTGTTGACTAACAGCCCATTGCCAAATAGCTACTACAAGCACAGAGGGAGCAATAGGAAATTACTACACATGCTGTTTCAGTTCCGTAGCGTAATGTGAAGGTCAGCCAATTGTGTTAAAGGTAAAGTCCTAAGCACTCTTACCAGGGATTAAGGTCCAATGTCCTCAGTGGGACTTACTTTTGGATAGGCATGTATATCACTGCTCTGTAAGTATGACTATAAGGACCCATTTGATTCTTGTTTTTAGAGGACATGCCATTTCACAGCACTGCACACATTGCATCCTTTTAAAAAGTGTACATTCAAGCTGGAGCTTGCAAAAGGAAAATGGAATGCACTGATCAGCAGAACAGAGTTGAACAGAGTGTACCTAGCTGTTTTAGCCGTTCCCTGAAGGGCACGGCCCTATGTGTATTTAGATAGAAAAAGGTCTCTCTGGAGAAGCAAGAAGGACATCTCTCTGCCCAAACATGCATCAAATGGGCCTTCAAGCAATTATAGGCATTTTATTAAATACTCTATTCTCAACCAGATAGATTGGATGGTTCCTTCCTCCCCCCCCACCCCCAGATGTCTTCTCCCTGGATCCTGCTAGGGAGCTATCTTCCTTAGCTTGCTACCTTCATAACTGCGCCCCAACTTTGACCTCAAATTCTTCTTCTGTTCCCACTCAGAACTTCCTTCTATTCCCATTCCTGGAACAATGCCAGTTATTTCTTCTTAAGGGGGATTTGGGGGCTTGTAGACGTTGGAGCCCCCTTTCCTCTTCACTGTATCTGTGGATTTTCGGGTCTCATTCAACACTGATAAATGCCTTATTGGTTTATTACTTAGATCCCACTTTTCTTTGAGGAAGATCATTGTACTTTTCATGGTGGTTAAGACTTGTGTATTCAGCATATGGAAATTACTGCTAGTGTACATGAGATCATAAGTTTGTCTCTAGCTCTATTCAACTGAACAAGAGAGGATGTAAGAGGGATGGGGTCATTGCTACATCTTCTGCCTCTTGGTTGGTTGGCTAAAATACCAACAATGCAAGCAGATTACACCTCTTATTGCCAGTAACTAATCTTTAGGAGATGTGTTTGAAGCTGTATGAATGGGGAAAAGCAGCATAAATGCCATGGAACTGCTGAACAATTGGTGCTTGGGAGAGACAAGATGGGTCAGGGAAAGGGAATGTGGCCATTTGTGATTCCTGAAGGGCCAACTTGAGAGAGCCATATTCGGCCCTGCAACTGAGGTTCTGCATTTTCCCAATCAGCTACTACTGCTGAGATAAAAACTTGGATTTGTTTGCTTTCCACTTTTCTCCCCATTCCAGGCTAGAGCTACTAGTGGTCTGACTAGTTAAGGATGCAGTTCTATGGAGATGGATGAACTCTCACAGGTTCACATTCCTGCAATGCAGAGTAGAAAGAATGGGGGAGACAATCTTTGCTTCCTTGCTCTTCCTGCCCTGCATTTTTGCTAGATGGCCATTGTCAGATATCTGTAGCAATGGTGTTACAAAATATGTGTTATTTAAATACATGCAAACCAAACACATGCACAAAGAAACTTTTTTGACCCTGGGCTTTGGGAAAACCTGATACCCACGAATGCAGAGAGACTCAAAGACAGCAACGAAGTCCTTGAAAGCAATTCTTTGCTTTCCTAATGAATTATTTAACATGAATCAAGATCACATATTTAGGACTATTCATATATCCCGGGAATTAGAACCACACATTAACACTGAAATGGAAGACGTTAGCAAGCATTAAAGTCAACATTGACGTTAGATGCAGTGGAGGGCATAGAAAATCGTGTGTACGCCCCAAAGTCAAGCATTATTGGAGTTTTGAATACTGAGGAAAAGGGAAGGAAGAGAAAGTCTGGGTTACTTAAAAAGAAAAAGGAAATAGAAGGTAATATAAGGATTTACTCCTGGTATCTTCTGGTTTGATGGGAAGCTCCTTCTCCAGAGCAGAAGGAAAGAGAGGAAAAAATGGAGTGAGTTGCTTTTCAGAGTAGAAAGAAGGGTTTCTTCTGATGGAATAGATCTTCTCTGTTTTTATAGATCTGGAATGCTCTCTTTATCTTTCTTCCCAGGACTTAACAACAAACAAATAAACCAAGTTCTTTTTCTAAGATTCCTCATGGATGTCAGAAAAGGGATTTTAGGTGTCACTCCTTAAGGGAAGAAAGAAGACAATGAGCACTTCTTTCCTTCTTGATGGGAGGAGAGGATGGGAGCTGGTGGGTAGTATTTTGCATATCTCTGGCTATCACAGATCCAGGTGTGTGAGATAGCCCTGGGGATTTGGGTGATTGTTTTTTTAAAAAGGTAACAAAAGAGTCAAGTATCCCTGCTTACATAGTAATGGGTTTCCAAGGTTTCACAGCTTTAAAGACCTTGATTTTAAAAAAAGAACCATCCCTTCTGCTTAACCTAGAAAGTATTTCATGGTTGAGTCTTCTGTGATGTGGCCCTGAGGCGAGATCTCAAACCTACTAGTGTTAACACTGAGGAACTGAGGAAATCAGGGCACAGTGACTGGGCAGAAAATTGCATGCAAGAAGTCTGCAGTTCCCCTTAGGCTATGCAGTGCCTTTCATATCCTATGGAATGTTCTTTGTTGCCTCTCTCCAATACCAAAACATCTCCTTCTAAGATATAGTGAATTAGTGGGTACTTAGTAACAATGAGTTTCAGAGGGGAGGACCTCGTATGCTGTCCCCAAATGCCCTGCTTTCTCCTTTTCTGAGGTTTTCCCCTTTCTTTTCCCCTTCTCTTTTCCCCTTCTCTTCCCAACTGTGGAAAGCAGCTAGGGCTGTTACTTTCATGCTGACTATGAAGAGAATGGAGAGGAGCTGTAACTCCATATTCAAACTCCATGCTCTCTGACCTCAGAGCTAGGAATCTAAACTTTCTTATGGCCCTCTCAGGCATTGTCTAGTGGCCACAGGTTGGCCATCCCCTCCTGCAGCTTTCTATTTCCAAAACTTAACTCCCATTTTCTTCCATAATATTCAGGTACATCTTCTGGGTGGTACCCAATGCCTTGGACAGTCATAAATAAAGGCTTAGTTATGCTGCCTGTTGACTTTTTTCCCTAGGAGCCAGTAAATTATTGTGTGATTAAAACACACATGCACAACTACCACCTTCATCTGGTGTTACAGTGTGGATTTATGAACTTGGGGCATTTGAACGTTCGGATATGTGACAATGTTCTTCAGCTACCTTTTATCCAACTTGGATAATCCATTTACACAGACTACATTGATGAACTGTTTTATTTATTGATGGGTTTTCTCTTAACAGGGCTCAATTGGTGCCAGTGTTTTCTTTTGGTGAAAATGAACTATTCAAGCAAATTTCAAATCCAAAAGGATCATGGCTTAGAACATGGCAGGAAAAACTGCAGAAGATTATGGGTTTTGCTTTGCCCCTGTTTCATGGCAGAGGGATATTTCAGTATAGTTTTGGCTTGATGCCTTACAGGAAACCTATTCACACTGTTGGTAAGTTCTTGTTTTACAGATTTTGGCACAGATATTGAAATGCACCCATTTCTTCTTACAAATACTAGCTGCTCATGCTTTGCCAAGTGTACTCTCTGCAGCATATATGCATCAAAGTTAGAGGAGACAAATGTCTGAATAAATATATTTCTCCCTGTTAATCCGATGGTTTTTTATTTATTTTCTATACCACCCAACAGGTGAAGCTATCTGGAAAGTTTCGTGTTTACCTTCTTCCCCCTTCTCTGCCTCTCCTATATTGTGTGTACATATAGGTCATGGGAATTGAATATTGAATTTTGAATATTCTATATTGGTGCCTTTGGGTTTTTTGAACCAGAACTACCATCACCCTCAGACAGCAAGGTCAATGTAAAGGATCATGGGAGTGGTCTTCTTCAAGAGGATGCCAGAGTGCCTTCCTCTGATGTACCTCCATCCAAGCTTTGTTATCTTCATCCTTAAGAAGCCAATGTGATGTAGTGCATAGGATGCTAGACTTGAACCAGAGAGACATGGGTCTGCCTCCATTCAGCCAAAGCACACTGGTTAACCCTGGATGAATGCAGACCCCATTACTTCCCAGTCTGATTATGGAGCCCATTACCTCTGAGCCTAACCTACCACACAGAGTTGTTGTAAGGATAAAATGGTATATTCCTCATGCATATCTCCCCGAGCTTCTTGGAGAAAGATGCAGCTTACAAATTAGTTGATAATAAAACATAGGGACCTGTCATCCTATTTTGATTGTCTACCAAAGCAAGACCAATTTTATCCTTCTAGGGCATTTCTGAGTTCCTATTTTTTCTTTCTCCTGAAGCATCCAGGGATTGGTAGCCCAAGCCCCTAAAGCACAAACATGGAATACCTCTCTGCATCCACTTCCAGGAAAAAGCAATTCTTGCAGAAGTTGGATAACATTTGGAGCAGCGTAGTTTTAAAGCATTACTTTGTTTTCAAATAGCAGACTTCTAATGGTAATCTCAGTCCTTGAGATCTTGTAAAATGATTATGTCAATAACTTTTAGATATCAATTGAACCACAAGAGCCATTTTGCAAGAAGTGCAGGGGAGAGAGCTGACTAAGAAACACTTCTGGCTCAACCTTTGATTAAGGGAAGTGCTCTTCTAAGAAGTGACATTTTCTTCTTTACACTCCATAATATAATATGATAAGGTTACAAGGATGATGAGGGGTTGAAGTGATTTACTTGGGTAGATCCTTGAATTTACACTTGGAGATCCCTGAAAAAAGAGGCTTAAAGGGGAATGAATGATATCACAGATAACCAGAACCTATAATAATGAGTATATTTCTTTGATATCATTAATTAAAATCTAAAATCTAACTAACAAGAATCTTTTAAGGTGGAACTAGTTCAGGTTCTTCTTTTATGCAAGTGATTGCAAAAAGAAAGAAAAAGCACTGATAAATGCAAATGGTGCATAGAGAATTAGATTGTAGAACAAAATTGAACAAAGCAATTGTAATTTTTGGAAATGGAAAGGTGTAAGAAAAGTCAACATTTTATTGTTACCAATTTATAGTAAGAAGCATATCTACTCAGAAGTAAGCATGAGCTGCATGTCAACTCAGAAATAAGTGGGGCCACTCTCAAAAGGAAACTGAACAACCACCCAGGCCACCACTGTGGCCACCACTGAGAAAGTGACCCTTTCTCAGTTCTATGCAGGAAAACCACATGTATCTGGTCCGACACAGCTGATCAGACGCAGCAGAGGAAGAAGTTAGGAAGCCACCAAGCCTTAGCAAGCTGGAGGTTATCCATCTTGCAATTGCTTGTGGCTAGGAAAGCTACAGAGGTTTTTCCCACTTGCAAATGTATATTGACTGCTACTTTCTTTCAGTGTGGCTTCCCCTCAGGCACGCTAGTCTGAATTACTGAGACAGCTTCAAGAAACCCCATTGTCTTCCATTTGCAAACTGATATTGCAGTTCATATTGATTTGATAATAAAGTCTTGTAGGTTTATGTACAATTTGGCCTGTACAATTTGCCACAATGTACAGGCAAATTGATATTCAAATGGCTCACAATAGACAACGTTGTTTATGATGCTCTGTCTGTAAAGAGAATTATAGAAACATAGAAATAGAGCGAGTCAGAAGGGGCCTCCCAGGCCATCAATTCTGACCCCTGGCTCCAGCCAGCTCCACTCACGACATGCCCACCATGTGCATGTATAGCCCAGAATTTTGACCTCTAGGAAATTCTTGAGGTCCTTTACCATTATGAAAGCTGTTAGATCATTGTGTGCGTGTCTTGTGTGGACAAAAAGAATGAAACCAAACTGTGAAAATGCCAATGTAGAACAAAACAGCTGAAACACTTGTTCATGGAGTGCAGCATTTATGCAGATGACAATGTAGGTACCAAAACTCTGGCTGAGTTTTTTTGTTGCTTGGGTTTACAGTTGGGGATCCTATTGTGGTGAAACAGAATCTGAATCCCACCATTGAAGAGATTGATCAACTCCATCAGAAATATCTGCAAGAGCTACAAAAGTTATTTGACAAAAACAAAGAAAAGTATGGAATACCAGAGCAGATGTCTCTCACTTTTACCTAAACAGAAGGACACTGAAAATCTGATTTAAAGGCTTGTGGTGAAAATGAACTTTTAATGTCACTCTTTTCTCTTTTCCTCTTTCTCCCTCCGCTCTGCAAGATTTCCAGGAATTACACTCTTCTTGTGTGACTAAATTCAGTGTGACTTATGAAAAGATCTATTAGATTTTAAAGAAAAAGTATGATCACTGTATGAAACTAATTCCATTAGTTTGTGAGGCTCACTGGAAATGTTTCCTTCCTTCATTCTCTAGGTAGACGTGCGTTGGTTAAGGGAAGGGCAGGCAGATGGTAGAGCTGGATCTGTAGATCAGTACATGCTTTGCAATCCAGCAAACAGACCAGGAACCCCAGCTAGTTACCTGTAACAGCAACAAAATCTCAGGAGACTCCTGTTCCCTAAATGGAACTGCCACATTGAAGAAACCTTAGGGGTAACCAGTAGATTTTTGTATAGACAAACTGGATTGCGGAAGTCAAAAAGCAAATGCCTGAACTCATAATTCTTTGATTCTAAGTGTATGCCTTTTGCATTAGGCTCTGATTAAAGTCAAGGAAGGAAAAAGGAAGATCCTGCAGAAACACAGAATGCTGGAAACATTTTGAAGAATGCTTTTTTGAGAATGAATCAGTTCTAATAGCCTTTGGCTCCTATGTCTTCTGCCATGTCCCATTTTGCATGTATGAACACCTTTTGAAACACATGTGGTTTTTCAAATCAAAATAGGAGCCATGCTCTTGCAGTTTCTATTTATATCATGGTGAGCGCAGAGTGGGCATTCTGAGTAGAGTGTTCCATTGTTCATGTGTTTTTGTTTTTTGAACAGCTTCAGGGATATGTTGTGTTTATTTGACTTGGTTGAATTATTTTTATTGTTATTGTTAACTGGAAACTGCATCTCTCTCTGTGTCTATATCTGTCCTAACTGCAATGTCAATATGTGGCATTTTAGGCTTTCCTAAGCCATATGGTATTCTGCCTGAAGTGGTTTAATAAGCCATAAACCCTATTTTAACAGGGGTAGTAATTTGGTACTTTTGTAATAGGTGCATTTGTCTAATCATGATTCTCTGTGGGATTTATTTTAACCTACTCTAAAAAATGTGAGGAGGAACTCAAAAACATTTTTGATTTCAAAGGAGTGATGTATGCTCTAGATTTTTTGGCTCAGAGTTCATTCTCCAAAGGGATAAGAAATAAAAGTAGTATGTTGTAGTCCAATTTTAAAAATATTAGGGCTGAGCTGAATATTCCCTAGGTTTGATTATGGTTGAAAAATATAACCATTACAAAGGGATTTTTTTCACCCAGTTTACGTGAACATTTCCCCTATTGTTTCCCCTGGTGGTGGCTACATCAATGCCAATTTCATCGACCCATAGCTGGGGTTTTTTGCTCATTAATCTATCTGCAGATTAGAGATACAGTGATTCTCATTAATAAGGTATCATTTGCTGACCATCATAATATGTTGCCATGCAAATTTGGCATCATGACCACAGCAGTCCAAACCCTGGACTGTAGAAATATACTTCAGATGATGGATAATGGGCCAGTAGTCTGATTACATAAGACTGCTTCTTATGTCTCGATGAAGGCAATTCTGATTTAAAGTGATGCTTCTTATACTGGTCACATCATAGCCAATCAGGGATCACTCTAACAATTTATCACTTTTCACAGTCCTTTTAAAGTGTTCTGACTTCATTTTTTCAAAATCCTATCAACCCACCCCTTGTTTCCACTCAGCCTTAGTTAATATATCCTCACTTCCTTTTAAAAGGGATGTTTGATTCTGATGAACAAACAGCTAGGAACAATAAATTATTTTGATACCAATATGTGTCTACATTCACTGACTCCTCTTTGTGTACACTTTAATTTCCCTGTAGCAGCCCACCAATGAAAAGACTGACTATACTAAAATAGCCTGAAGTTAATGTCTTCCCATCTTGGTTTCCCCCCACAATGGCCATATCAGATGCTGTTTATATTGGCAGCTACTCCATTTGGTTAATCTGCAGATACATCATACAGTTGAGTCCCATTCAAAGCAGCTGGGTGTTTGTGATTTTAGTATTCTTTCCACAGTGAAATGCAAGCGGCATGCTATGGTGTAACAGAAATCAAGAAAAGGCAGGAAGAAAACCAGCTCAAAGGTCATAACGAAGTATGGTCTCATTATACTTGGGATGAATGAAAGCAACAGCTGCTTCATAGTAGGGCACCCTCAGATTTGGTAATGGGAGATCAACATTGTAGCTTGTTACTATGGAAGTAGGAGTAAATTATCATTTGGGATATGTGGAAGAGTTGATAATCTTTATTAACATTGTATATTATCAAGCTGTCTTAAATATTGAACATGAAATCCTTGTGCACAGCATGGTTCTTAAAATGACAGCTGGACTGATTCTTTTCTCAAGTGACTATTATTGTCTGAAACCTGTTGGCCAACTCATTCTATGACACTGACACTAAAATAAAACAGGTTTAACCCTAGCTCAGAAGGCCTAGAAGATGCGGATGCTAGAAATCAAAGTCATTTCAGCCTATAACTACATGAAGTGTGTTAACTTGCAGCCCTCCAGATGTTGTGACACCCAGCACCCAACAGCTCTAGTCAACATGGCCTGTGGTCAAGGATGATCAGGCTTGAGGTCCGATAACATCTGGAAGCCACAGCTTCTGCACCCCTGACATTAAAAGTCTGATGTATTGAAAGCAGTTAGGTGTTTAAAAACTGGTGAAGGCCCAAGGATTCAAGGAGTTATTTTTTTCTCCCTAACTAACAATGACATGGCTCTGTAGTTTGTTTAATCTATTTCTATATTTTTGAACAGCCAAAGCTCTTTGGACAGTTCTCAAAACAAAGTTGGGACTATGGTAAATCCATGCATCTAGGCTACTAATTGATTAGGGGTGCAATCCTGCATATATAGGATTCTCCCCTAAACTGCTGATCTTCCTGGTAGCATCAGTTTTTGTGCTTCTGCCTAAAAAGGAGGATTGACCACAATGCCAAGGATAATTCTTCTGTTTACTCAGTCAAGAACTGTAAACAGTTCTTTACAGTACAAACTTTTCTTTACAATAATGGCAAGGATTATCATAGAGGGAAGGCTCCAAAAGTGTTCAGTTGCTAATGCTATTTATGTTGCAATGGCAGAAACCAACACTTGCAGAATGTCAATAGTGCGTGCCAGCATGACCGGTTTTCTGCAAAAGCCACCACACTAACAAAAGCTACAGACTTTGCACTAGTGTTGATTTCTACTAATTCAACTATATACTACTAATGACCCAGCACCATTGGATTCTTCCCTGTTATTTGTACTGTTATTGTGTATTCCCCATGCGCAGGCTCAGTTGTCCTCCTGTCATAGGTGTGGAATGTGGCTTTAGCAGCAAGTCTCAAGTTTTGTACTCTGTTTTCCTTTTACCACAAAGTTTCTCAGCTCTGTGAAGACAGCCTTCTAACCAAATTCTCTAGCAAAGCATTTTATAGCACAAAAGTCCAACTTTTAAAATAATTATTGGATACAAAATGCATTTCTTGATCCTTGAGACAAAATCACATAGAGGGAAAGCTTCAGTGAGTTTCAGTGCAGAAGAAAGGCATGGACTGCTGAGTACCATTTGCCAATTACTTGGTTTCGTTCTGCATATTTTCTCTATTGTCTCGTTTCCTCTGAAATCCCTACTGGATCGGACCCCTCTTGCTTCTTCCAGAGCAAATTGGCAATCCCTAATTTCTTGCTGCGCTGTGTAACTCTATGCCTAGACCCAGCAAATAGAGTTATTAATGTAGAATTAACATGGTGCTTTACTGGGGCCTCAAAGAACCAAAGAGGAGCACTACTGGATCAGAGTCAAGGTCCATCTAATCAAGCATTCTGTTCACACATGGGCAAATCAGTTGCCCCAGTGGGAGGCTCACAAGCAGGATGTGAGTGGAACAGCACCCTCCACTTCGGGATCTCCAGCAATGCATGTACAGAAGCATGCTGGCTTCAATACTGGGAGTATGATGCAGCTGTCATGAGTAGTAACCACTGATCGTGTTATCCTCCATGGACGTGTCTAATCCTGTTCTAAAGCCATCCAGGCTAGGGTGCATTACCATTTCTTGTGGTAGCAAATTCCAAATATCCACTTTTTATCTGCCCTGTATTTTCCTTTATCCAGCTTCATTGAATGTGACAGGGTTCTAATTCTTTGACAAACAATCACTTTCTCCATACCATACATCCTTTTATATACCTCTGCCATATCTCTGCCCACTCATACACACTATTTTTCTAAGCTAAACAGCCCCAAACATACATTTTGTTCATAGATGGCTTCAACATTTGCTGTCCTTCTCTGCAGCTTTCCCCACTCTGCAATATCCTATTTGAAATATATCTACCTGAACAGTACACAGATTTCCAAGTGCACAGTACTGTATTGTACTGGTATATTTCACAGTGTGCACAGTATTCCAGGGTATACAGCATTGCATTTCGGGGACCAAGTGCCTTGTTTAGTATCTGGAGCAAACATACCTGCTCTATATTTCTTCAGCTCCACTAGATGGCACCTCTCCTTTTCCTCTTCCATTTGTTGTTCACCAATGGCGTAAGGGAAAGAAGTAGTCTGGTAGGGTCAGAAAGTGAAAAGCTGTTTGCTGTGTCATCCCCAATGCAAGACAGTGTGCATCTCTTTCTCATGATGTGCTGAAAGGTTGCATACTGCCTTATGGCCACTGTTTTTCCATTAAAGTCACCAAACAGGGAGGGGTGATATAAATATACTATCCTGTCTGTAGCAAACAGCTTTATTTTGAGCTCTGTGCATAACAGGCAACTAGATGTTCCTGCAAAAATTAATGAAGTAGCCTGCAAAGGGCAGCTTCTATTATCTAAGATTGCCTGGACAAGCTGTACCATTGTGCTCCATCTGAGATTCCTTGAGACATCATGAAATGAACACAATCAATCATCCCCTTGGTGTTGTATTTGGTTAACTGATTGGCAGCTATTTACCTATTAATGATGGAGTACACAAAATACAACTTTAGACTTTGTGGTTTAGATATAATCATGATACTGAAACCGATTTTCTAAGACAAATATATCTCAGAAAGTATCTATCCTACCTAGCTTTTTATGAGCAGTGATTTAATGGGGTGGGGGGGGGGAGAAGCAATCCCATTTGTTCTCCTGTACAACTTAAAAGGAGATGTTATAGTAAAAATGAAAATGAAAGCTTGATCTCAGTTGGTAATATGCTTTCAATTGTGCTCAGCTAGAGAAAATCCCTTAATCTGAGTTCTGGCTCATTTTAAATTTGGATGAGTCACATCAGAAAGAGCTTATGGGCCTTGCATTTCCCTTAAGTGAATGTTGCTACAAGAAAATATGTGATCTAAGATAAGATGGAAAGAATCTTCCAATTTTACACTGGACATGCTACAGTAATTGGAGTCGCAAGCCTAAAGCTGCAATCGGATATCCACTTACCTGGGAGAACTTCCATTTAACTTGGGGTTTACTTTTCAGTAGTCACTGCACTGTTAATCTCAGAATATAAACAAGGATAGAAAAGCAGAAATTGAATCACAAACAAAATGATGTGACAAATACCCTTGTGGCAAGAATAACCTTGTGGAGTTAAAAGGGACAGGTGTCTCAGGTTTGCACAATTACTAGTTCTAATGACAACAGTTTAGTCCAGCTTCAAATACTTCAGTTTTTGCCCATTTTTTGTCCTTTCTCAAATATTATTAAAGCACCACAAATAGGATATAGCAGTAGGTGCTCTTTTCCTCTCACTAACTAATCATGGGAAGGTTCCTTGTATGGAAACAGACTGTTGGTCCATTGGTATTGTCAACACTGGCTGGCAGTGCTTCTTCTGGCTTCAGGCAGGGCTCTTTCTTCACCAGAGACTGCACCTGAGACCTCTGGCACACAGACAAGCATATATGTGCTTTGGGGCCTGAATCACTGCTGCCTGCCTTTCGCACCTCTGTGCTCATTCTCCTTGCCCGCTACTTGTATTTTCTTTGCTCATAGTTGCCTTCTGTCCTACAATCTCTCTCACTCTTTTGGCCACGTTCTTGATTTTGCTTTCCCCTTGCCACCATTGACTCTCTTACTCTGTGTCCCAGACTTGCTTGCACAATTTTCCCATCCTAGACATGTTTGCACAATTTTTGGTCACTCCACTGCTTTAATTCTTATCTATCCCCATGGAATTCAGCTCTGTCAGCATTCTGCTTCTGACTTCTAACACCTTATGGTATTTTGTAATGGATATGCAAGTCTTAGGGTACAATGCAGTGAGGCTGCGCAAGCTTGGAAAATTATGAGAATCCTATCCATGGTGGGAGGCACATGGGGGAAATGTCAACTTCACGCTCTCCTTGTGATGCAAAACACTTCACTGATTTCAGCTAAGTATTCAGCCTTGGAGTAGGTGGGAAAGGGTGTGAGCCATTGCCAGGATACTTTGTATGCTGGCAAAGCCTGTCTTGGCCCATCTCTGCCCCAGAAGCCCAGCTCCAAGGTTTCTCTTGAGACCCCAGAGCCACAGCCATTGCAGCTTTTTCTGTGCTCACTGTGAGGATGAGGGGAGGGTGCTCCAAATTCAAGTCCCCTCTTCAACTTCAGAGCAAGCTTTTGTGGTCAGAGCTGGGGCCTGTGACTATGTGGATTCTGTCCACCATTTACAGGACTGTGCTACCCATGCCTTATCTTGAAGAGGGCAATGGCTTCAGATTCAGCCCTGTTTCACGTAGTCAGTGAAGCAAAAATGTAACAAATTTGATGGATTTTTAAACTGGATGCATGAGA